GGGTGTCTCCAGGGACTGCTTAAGTGAGTAGCTCATTGACATCACTAACAACTTTGCTTCCATCAGTTTCACGCCTCACCAAAAAGGGCTTCCTCATGACTTCAAGACAGCTGATATGGTGCCAGGATCTCATTATGGACATACGATGGTCTCAGTGCAAGAACAAGACATCTCTTCTTTGAGCTGAACAGGAGGGATCGAAGCAACTTTCCCTGAAGGCACTTCCACACAAGTAATTTTTCTTCAGAAGAGATTTTGTTGGACAAAAATACATACACCATATGTTCATGCTAACCAATCACTGCAAACGGGAATCAAAGTTGACCTATACCTGACATAGAACGTAATTAGGATTTATTCTTGAGCGGGCGGAGTCTTTTTGCTGAAGAATGGAGTTCTCAAGATAATAGGGGTCTGCTAACAAAATATGGTTGGTAGGCAGTCAACCATGTTTCTACAGCTCCTATGGAGAGCTGCAGGTGTTCTCTGGGATACAGTGGTTCTGAAATTCTTCAAATTCACCCTTGGAACGTAAGTGGCAAATTCTTGAGACGTGTGGGTTTTAATTCTGAGAATGTTATTTGAGCTTCGTTCCAATTATGTGTTGGGTTTAAGGCAGAAACGAAAGTACTTTGGTTGCAAATTCAACTTTGTCTGGGTTTAGTGATCACATTGAGAGTGCGGATGCAATGCGGAAAATGTCTGAGGGAGAGCACCGAAAATAAGAGAAACCCATCATTCAGAGAATCAAATAGATGGATTCGAGGAAATACACTGAAAGCTCATAAAATCAAAACCTTGTGTTTAGGACATTTCTCATGTTCCTCTTGGTTTGGCTCCTCCTCCCTCCCCAATGCTGGATCCAGGCCATTCACCCTCCAGTCTCCACACAAACCCTTGTACAATTTGGCTCTGCCCCTTTTCCTTTTTGTCATACATTTACCTCCTGGCCCTTCTACACCTTCACTGAAGTCTTAGGCCCCTCTCTATACTCCATTTCTGCCCAGGGTGACTTCCATGTCCATATGCGCAACCCAGCAAACTCGCTTCTCACTGCCCTTATTGCCACAACTCCCAGAATCTTTATGTCCACCCCTCTGCATCCATTCACACCCATGACCAATGCCATGAGTCTCCTCGTCACCAGGGATAACTCAATTTCTGATTCCCACTACAGCTCTCCTTTTCATGAAAACTTCGGAATCCTCATTCACTCATTGTCTTCAGGTCTATTGCTCCACTCAGGTCTCCTCTTTCCTTTCCACCCAGCTCAGAACACAGAATTGACTGAAGTAGGCTTGCACTTGCTCCTCATTTTGCTTGCATTTCTACCCTTCTGCTGCACCCACACAGTCAATCCCAGCCCTAATAAAAGATTTTATTAAGTGGCTTTTCTCCAATCTAGATGGCTGAGAAGAGTTAGAGAAAAATCACGCAACTAGGCTGAGTGATATGCTAGATATTCAGGGTCTCCAACTTCTGTGGGTCCCTCCAACTTTTCTTGTTCACTGTCCTTTTTCAATCTAAACCTTTATCATTCCTCTCAATTTCCTTACTCAACTCCTGCACCTCTCCCTCTATTTCATAGACAATCAGGCCTCATACTTCTCAGAAAATGGAAGCTGCCAGGCAAGATAAACTTGTTTGCTCTTACACCCATTGTTATAACCTTACCTGAAGGCTCAGAGAACAAGATGTATTTGCTGTTCAATTCCAAATTGTCCACCTATGCCCTTGACCCTGGATTCTCCCATCACCTTCACAGGAAACACCCCTTCAGCTTCCCCTTAGCCTATAAACAAGCAGGCTTAAAGCTCTCATAACCCCCATCTAGACCACACCAAATACAAATCTGTGTTGACCACCTTGTCCCCTATGGCTACCTCGCAAATGCTTTCTTCCTGCTTTTAGCCACAGCATTAAAAAGACCGGTTGGTGCTTATTGGCCATTATTTATCACTTTGCCCTTCCCCCATTCACATCTCAATTGGTTGCAGTCTGACTTCTGCTGCATCAACTACTCTACTAAAGTTACCTGCAAGTGTGGAATCCACTGGGCATCTTCCAGCCCTCATCCTCTGTGGCCTTCTCTGCACTTGACTCTTTGGAATTCCCCACCCCACTTCCTGAACCTCTCCCGTCTCTTTCTTCCATGACTTCACACTCTTCTTACTCTCTTCATACCTGTCCACGCTTTCTGCCTCTACCTGGGCAGCTTTTTCCTTCTCCTGCCCTTTATTATTATTATTATTATTTATTTATTCATTTATTTTTTTGAGACAGAGTCTCCGTCTGTTGCCCAGGCTGGAGTGCAGTGGCACGATCTCGGCTCACTGCAACCTCCGCCTCCCGGGTTCACATGATTCTCCTGCCTCAGTGGACTCTCTCTTGCTCTTCATACCCACATTCTGTGCGTTTTCCAGGATTATCCTCAGAATGTCTCCTCTATCTTTACTACCACAGTTGAAGTTCAAACAGCGTCCTTGGCTCCCAGAGGGACTCCCTGTCTCCAGTCTTGTCCCCTTAGATTTGTCCTCCTCAGAGGACAGATTCTGAAATCAGACTGCCTGAGTTTGGCTCCTGGTTCTGTCATTACTTAACCTCTCTGTGTGTCTTTTCCTTTATCTGTAAAATAAGGATAATAATAATACTTGTTTTACAGGCTTGTTGGGAGCATTGAATGAGTCAGTTTATGCAAAGTGTTAGGACAGTACCTGACAAGCAGGAACGGCTTCATACCACCTCCACTGACTACCTCAAGCCTTTGCGCTAGCCACATCTGTGTGGTGCAATGTGGTGTGCAAAATCAGTCATTTGTACTCTGCCATGTTTCATGCACAGTTTGGTTGTTTATCTCATTATTTAAGATTCTGCTAGCCAAAAAGCCTGGCCTGGAAGTCCCTTCTCTCTCTCCCTTGAATACCTTTGATAATTTTCTATGTATTTGACTTTCTCTCCCACCAGCTCCATGAAGGAAGGAACAGATCTTGTTTATCACCATATTAGGTTGGCGCAAAAGTAATTACAGTTTTTGCAATTAAAAAAAACCCACAAAAACTGCAATTACTTTTACACCAACCTAATAGTTTCAGTTTCCAGAATAACACCTGTTGCTTAGCACATAACAAATTTTGCCAAATAACAAAGGAAGAGCTAAGCAAGTACACAAGTATCTCATGTCTTTATAAATTGTATGTCTTAGGATTCATAATCATTAAATTATGCTATCTGATTTGTACAGAAAAATATTTATGACTAGGACTAGAAAAAAAATCACGGACTAGCAAAAAAAATCACGGAGCACATCCCAGCAAAAGTGCTCATTCTGGTTTTGTTGTTTGGGCTGGGAGAACTTTAAGTCTGTTTTGTTTAAAGGGGAAGTTGGGGAAAAGTTGAAGATGCAAGAAAACTTGGGTATGTTTCCTTGAGTGAAGGTGGAGGGAGCTTGGAGAAACAAGCACACAGACGGAAGATCTAGATTTCAACAGGAGAAATGTCTCATTTCTGGAACCTTCAGGGAAGGAGGTGCTATGATCTGGACATTTGTGCCTCTACCCCTTGACTTCCTATGTTGGAACCCTAACTCCTAAGGTGATGGTCTTGCAAAGTGGGGCCTTTGGGAAGTGATTAGGTCAGGAGGGCACAGCCCATGAAGGCCCAGGGAGTTCTCTTGCCCCTTCTGCCATATGAGGTCACAGCTGAAAGATGGCTGCCTAGAAAGAGCGCCCTCACCAGACACTGAACTTGCTGGCACCTTGATCTTGGACTTCTCTGCCTCCAGAACTATGAGGAATGAATTTCTATGATGTATAAGCCACCCAGTCTATGGCACTTTGTGACAGCAGGCTGGGGGGACTAACACAGGGGGAAAGAATAAATGTGGGGACTGATGAGTTTATATAGAGGTTTTGCCTGATAGTTTCAATTTTATCTGAGAAATATGAGGCAAGAAGTAGGTATTTCAGTATCCACTGAAATTGTGAGAGGCAGGGATGGAGCAGGGAAACTGGGAAGGATGAGGCATGTTTAAAATGGGAAAGAAAGTTGACAAAGGACAGGACAAATTAGGGAGGAGCAGATGTTACCTTCTCTCTTAAGTCTCTGCCCTGGAGCCCATTCCTGGGGAGGGGCCTGTTGCTGTGAGGGATTGAGGGGCAGCTCACTTCACTCACGGCAGCAGCGGCCCTAGGGCAGTGCGTGCAGGGCAAGCCAGGGTCCCCACTGTGGAGCTGGGCGTGGCTTTTCAAGGAAGGGAGTGAGGAGGGCTCCACTCGCTGAATCTCCCAGCCTAAGGGTGAGGGACACCGGCTGTGGCTGATTTTGAGTTGGGCATTGGGGGCTATGCCCAGGTGGTCCTCCATCTCTCCGACAGGCGTCACCCGGGCCTGCCAAGGCTGTCGGGTTGCTCCCGGCCACAGAGGCCACTAAGGCTTAGCAGGGTCACCAAGTCAGAACCCAGGGCTGACCTAAGAACGGCCAGTATTGCTTTCACAGGGACTAGGATTAATTATACAGGAGACAAATTATTTATAGCATGACTGTGATGTTTCTTATTATCCGTATTGTAAATTGTCTGCTTTGACCATCCTGTGTCTGCCTCTATCTTTACCACAGAGCCGCGACTACCAAACTATTTTCACTCAGCGCCCCCTCGTGGCCCGATAGGTGCACTGTCCCCGCCTTTTTTTTTTTTTTTTTTTTTTTTTTTTTTTCTGTCCCCGCCTTTTTTTTTTTTTTTTTTTTTTTTTGAGACAGAGTCTCCCTCTGTTGCCCAGGCTGGAGTGCAGTGGCACGATCTCGGCTCACTGCAACCTCCGCCTCCCGGGTTCACATGATTCTCCTGCCTCAGTGGACTCTC